TATCGTTCTATCGTCAATTACTAAATTCTTATACCTGGCTTCGTATCCCTCCTGCATTCCAGATTTATATTTTCAACAGCCTACTAGATATTTCTACATAGATATTCCAAAGAAATCTCACTCTCAACAGGTCCCAAGAAGAATTAGCTATATTTTCCACTTCCAAACCTGTTCTTTTTTCTGGATTTCCTCTTTCAGTTAGTGATAACGCTATCTTCCTATTTCCTGAAGCTGGAGGCCTTTGGGTAAGAACCTTAGGGTTGACTCTGCTTTATTCATTCCTAAACTCAAGTGACTACTGAATTTTATTAATTCTTTCTGCCAGAAATTTGGACTTTATATATAATCAACAACAAGGAAACTTCGAAGGTATAAACAAGAGCCAACCTATATTTTAGGAAGATAACATTGCAGGCAGGTGAACGATGGATTGAAAAACTGAGAGACAACAGGTAGGAAGACCAGTCTGAACGTCATTACAGTGGTTGCCACAATAGCTCAAACAAGGACAGTCATTTCCTTGCACCCCTGTGTTATGCCAGGCGGCAGGTATCATCCCCTTTAATACCACTAGAATGTTAACTTTATAAGTCAGGGGCTTTGTTCTCCCCAATGTGGTTTCGGTGCCTAGATTTTAGCAGAAAGCAGCAGCTCAATAAATGTTGATTGAATGAATGAATTAACCCTTAGGACGATGCTGGATGGTAAATATTTTTACTATATATTTTTTTAAAGATGAGAAAACTAAAGCTCAGAGAAGTTAAGTAACTTGATTCAGATTATATATTGATTAATTGGGGGAGCTAGGACTTGAACTCAGGTACATTTGATACCAAAGCTTATCTCTCTGGATTTATGCTCTTTCTAGATAATGGAGTCTTAGAGTAGGACAATTGGGGGAAAAATGACAAGATAGTTTTGAGAAAACACGTGCAGACAGGCAGAACAGTTCTTGTAGACTGATTATTTATTTATTTATTTATTGAGAAAGGGTCTCTCCCTGTTGCCCAGGCTACAAGAGACTGATTAGATGCATGGAAACAAATGATGAATGAGTCAGAATTACTGTTGATGGAGCAAGAAGATCATAGCTGGATATTTAAAGTACTGAAGACCAAGTTTCCCAATCTGAGATACACATATTCTAGACGTTTATGGGCTCATGTCAAAGTATATTCAAAGACAAGAACAAAGTACAGCAGGTCCTCCATTTTGTTTTGTTCAGTGTTGTTTCATTATAATGTTGATGAGAAAAAAATATTGATTCCCGGCAGGAGCCACTGTCTGTGTGGAGTTTGCACATTCTCCCCACATCTGCATGGGTTTTCTCCAAGTACTCCAGTTTCCTCCCACATCCCAAAGCTATGCTATTAGGTGAATTGGTGTGCCCACGTGGCCCTGGTGTGAGTGAGTGTGGGTGTGAGTGCGCCCTGCGATGGGATGGCATCCTGTCCAGGGCTGGTTCCAGCCTTGCACCCCGAGCTGCCTGGAGAGGCCACCACCACCCTGAACTGGAATGAGCAGGTAAATAATTATCTTGTTTTTATTAATCTTTAGTTAATGTATGTAGAGCTCACATTTATTTCAATGTTTAATATTAGAAGTGTTTTGGTCTTTAGCAGTGTGGCGATGTTTTGGGGACCAGAAATATGTCTTAGGAGCTTAATCTTGTTTATATCAATTAGCCTGTGGTCAAACTTGGTTCTGTCATATGTCATTTCCCTTAAAGGTGTGGTTTCCAAGAACCTATCAATGACATTATGTGAGGACTCCGTGTACATCTTTTTGAAACAACACTTTTACTTGCAAAATTTGGGAAACGTATGATTTCCCTGTCTGAGAGAGGGAAACCAAACAGCTTTCCTTGTTCACAAAAATTGGGTGTGAGTTTTTTTGCCTAAAACATCCAAGACTAGAATAATATATGTATGGTGAGTGATTAGAATTTTTGCTAGCCAGTTGTAGAGTTAAAAACTTTACAGTCACTTCAGAGTGAACCAACTGTGTGACAGCAGAAAAAGTTTATGCTGATATACCAGTGTGGTGAAGAGTAGTATCCATAATGTAATCAAAGGACAATGTAATTTTAGTCTCTCACTATTGCTTTAAAATGAATTCAACATGGGTAATCTCATGGGATGAAAAGTTGGCCTGGCCCATAACACTTCTGTTTAGTCTCAGGTAATAGTTTTATATTATTTTTTCTTCATGAAGAAAAAAAAAAGATATCATGACGAAGATTAAATGCCTAGAAAAGTTGACTACATTAATTTTTCTCTTTACTAGTATAGTGAGTACACAAAAGAGGCCTATTTAGAGAATATTTTTCAAGAACTAATTCTCAACTTCAAGACAAAATTGGGAATGTTTTTACTGCTTCCAACAAGACTGCTGTAATTAAAATGAAGTTCAAGAGTTAGATGAATAGAATTGATTATGAGACCATTTGAGAATCAGTTCATCCATGGGTAAGGAAAACTTAAGTACTGTATTAGAGGTAAAAAAAAAAAAAAAAAA